ATTGAATATCTGAAGGCTAAAACTCCAGTTGATGGATCAAAGTCCATAGAAAAGAAGCATACCAGCCTGCATGATCCAAAATTGTAAAAATAAAAGCCAAACCTGGAGGAGAGAATGATATGAGAGTTTGCATTCTGAACATCCAGTTTGCAGAAGGCTATGGATGACAGTGAAAGCCCAGAATCCATCTGCTGGGTCCCCAGGTGGCTTAAGAATATGACCGCAGACTAGGAACGTGAATAGCCTTGCTATCAGGCGAAGTGGGTTGTTGCACATGTGGTGAGAAGTTAAGATGTAATACCTTATCACTTGGTCTCCCTTCTGACTCATTTTAAATTTGTTCTAGTTTTTAATATTTTCTGCCTTCTTTTTTGAGTGTGGTTTTTCTGTTTGTTCTCTCTCTCTCTGAAACCCAGGAGAGGTAAATCCATAGACAGTAACTAGAGTAGTAGTTTCCGAGGGGCCCAGCAAGGATGACTGAGGGGAAAAGGGAAGCTAACACAATGAGCACCAGAAAGAAGAAAATGTACTAAAATTGATTGTGGTAGCAATTTACAACATGCTTTAATATGATTGAACCATTGAATTGTATAAGTAGAGTATATGTCAATAAACTGTTGGGGGGGAAAGGAGAAAGCATTAAAAAAAAAAAGAAAGAAAATAGGAATGCTGAAGGGAAAAGTCAAAGGAACCTTTAAGTTCGATTTAAGATTTAATATACAAATTTATGTTTTCGATGTAGAATTTCAGATCTAAATTTTGGTTGGGTAAATGTTCAGATTTGTCCTTCTAAAACACAAATATTTTAGGATTTCAATGATCTTTTTCACTCGTTTTTCGACCAGCATTCAAACTTCTCTCTCATTGCTGAACTTTGAGAGGTGTTGAAAACAAAGTGGGTTTCAAATAGGAGTCCTTCTTCCCTAAAACAATAATGGGAAAAAAGGAGAGATTACGTAGTTTCTGTTCCACCTGTTGGAAGGTAGACTTATTACTAAAAAAGTTTACAAGAGAAATTCAAAAGGCAAATATCAGCCTTGAAGGAAAAGATCGTGATTAATATTCTGTTGTTAACAAAACTTGCTGGCACAGTATCTCCCTCCCAAAGAAGGCACTGTTTACTATTTTCTAAGGGGAACAGGCTTTACCTCTCCCTGCATTCAGAACCACAGTGTTTACTGAATATTAACACATTTTATACAAACATGCAGTTTAAAGCACAAAGTTGATGTAATAACAGATGTGTTTGAGAGAGAAAAAACAACTGTAAATAAGGCTTTAAATGAGGCAAATTCATATTCCATATCCTGGGTTTACATATGAACATCTAAACACCAAATCCAATACTGATAGTAACTTGAAGAGCTTCTACAGTGTGAGGACATCATGGTGACAGTTTGAGTACCTTATAATTTATATTCCAAACCTATTATATAACAGCATAGGTATTTTCACCTGAGTCCTTCGGTCCTCTATATGTTTTAAAAGTTTTTAAAAGTTTTAAAAGAGAAAATGTCCTCTATAAGTTTTAAAAGTTTTTATTTAACAAGAGATCTTCTGAAGAGATATAGAAGAGGGGATGAGGTGTAGAAGATGGAATAATATATTGGGGAGATAAAGTAGCTATGCACTCTGGATATCATTTCCGCATTTGTCAAAAGAGGGGACCTGCATACTGGGAGAGAGACTTGGCTTTCTACTCTAGTAAAGAGTTAGTCTCAGAAACCCACAGGGGTCACTGGGAGTCAGCACTGCTAGGCTTGATGGCAGTGAGTTTGCTGTCCACACTGGTAGCTTTAGAGCTAGGAGGAAGGTCAGACATTGCTGAGAGAGGAGGATGAATTGGTACCATTGTTTTACAAAGTGAATGCTGATACTACAGCTGAAAAGGAGCATTTCTTTTGATGCAGAAATTCTACTCCTAAGTATGCCTCTGAGGGAAAAAGAGAAGATGGGTAAAAAATTACATTGTTTCTATTAGAAACAAATGGAAGTCTACAGCCTGGAGCCATAAACAGAAGGAATAATGGATAAATTGTGGCATCTTCTTAAAATAGAATACATAATTAAAATAACTAGGATAGCAGGTATCTAAATATATTAATTTCAAATACTTAATATTGAGAAAGATTCAAAGTTAAGACATATTCCTTAAATGCTACTTAAAACAACGGAAACAATAAGACAATAGTGAATATGGTTTAAACATAAATGCATGTAGTTATACATATGTATATATATAAATATGTATACATATGAATAATATTTACCAAATTGATAGTGTTTACCTCCAGGTATGAAATGATGGAAGGTTCTATAATCTGGGGCCATAAAAACCAGGGTTCTCCAGTAGAAGGAATTTGAGCCCCAGTAGCACTTTCCTTAAACACTTCCAACAGAGTAACACAGCTTTGATAGTTCATGAATTGTTATTTCTTGGACATAGCCTTTTCCCCAAATGGAAGCCTCTGCTGGAGAAATATTTTGGGTTGCCCAAGAAATTAGTGACATGTTGCCAGAGAGACCAATTCCTGGAGAAGGGCGTCATCCTCAGTAGAGGGGCAGCAAAAAGGAAGAAGACCCTCAATAAGATGGATGGACACAGAGGCAAGGCTGCGTTCAAACACAGGAGCAGTCGTGAAGATGGCGCAGGACCTGGCGGTGTCTCACTCTTTTGTACTTAGGACCCGACTGTACAGCACCGTTATCTTCAGTTCAGCTATACGTAAGAGGAGCATTCACTTATGAGAAGACACTTAGGCTCATTTTCCCTCTACTAAGATAATGATCCCGCTAATCCAGTTTCCACTAACCGTCTTTCAGTATTCAAAAGATATGAGTTCAGCTCTAACCAAACGAGTTTCCTGAAAGCTCGCCAACCTCACCTGCTGTTAACAGGCTGAAGACCTGCTGAAGACCAGAGGGTGTCAAGAAATTTATGGTGTAAACCAAACTGAATCATAGCCACTGTAAGGGACCAGGCAGCAGACACAGACTCTTACCTGTACCTTGATTGCAAAGTTTGCATAGAAGAACAGAGTTAAATTTAACAGCTTTCCAACAGTTTCCAATAAAAAAATTTAAATACAAAATAAGTTGATTTATGGAAAAGCAAGAGTCCCCAGATAAACACTAAAAGGCAAGTCAGAAATAGGTTTCTAATAGGGAGCCTCTAGGGAGAAGCCAAAAAATTTGTTCTCCCTCCCAGCTTTTAAATTTAAATGTCTCACGTGGAGTCCTGGGACGTCAAATCCACTACTTAACCACAGCTTGCCACCTTAAGCCTTTGGACTACCATACACAATTTGCTTCTACCTCTTTTCTTCTTTCCTCTTAGGAGTCAGAACCTTCTCCCCTAACAACCATGCAATATGTCCCCAAAGAAACACATCAGCTGCAAAGTGAGACGCTGAATCAGAGAGGACCAGTGGACATACAGTCTTAGGTCTCAAAATCCGGGGGGGTGGGGGGGGGGTGGACCTAATGTCAAACCACTAAATCAGAAATCCCAGCAACATCAATACCAGCTGCCTTCCCTACAAACGCCTGCTCATTGCCATCAAATCCAAGTGACTCTATTAGATCACATAATTCAGCTGTGTTTCCTCTTCCCTTCCCCTATCCTCTCCAAAAAAAAATCTCACTGGAGTCTTACAAAGCTTTCTGAGGGAAATCTCCCTGTTCTACTGCTCTCAGGCTTCCAACTTCTCTTTGCATCCATTAGGCAGCATTCTCTAGAGCCTAGTTTAATACCTATACTCAAACCCAAATTGGGGGAAGGGCCTGGAAAGTAAAGCTGAAGGGAGGAACAGAGGGGGAGGGGTAGAAGGTGGGAGGAGGGGGCAGAGTGGGGAGAGAGAGAGGAGGGAGAGGGGAGAGAGGAGAAACAGAGGGGGTCAGAGGGGAGAGTTGGGGTGAGAGAGAAGAGGAAGACTGGGGAGAAGTGAGGGGGAAAGAAGGGAGAGAGAGGGGGGCAGAGGGAGGGGGGACACAAGGAGGGGAAGGGACAGGGAGAGGGGGACCAAGGGGGATAGGAGGGCAAAGAGGAGAGAGGGGGTGGAGGCGGGGGGAGAGGGGAATAGAGTGGGAGAGGAGGGAGAAAAGAGGTAAAAGACGAGAGGGAGAGGGGTGAGAGAGAGGGGGCAGGGGGAGGTGGAGGGGGTAGTGACAAAGAGAGGGAGAGAGGGGAGGAGAAATGGAGATGGGGTAAGTGGAGGGGCTGGGAGAGAGACAGGGAGAGAGGTGGAGAGAGGGAAGGAGAGGTGGAGATAGGGGAGGGGGAGAGAAGGAGAGAGCGGGCGCTGAGGGGGAGGGAGATGGAGAGAGGGGAGGAGTGGGGAAAGGGAGAGAGATAGGGATAGGGGTGGAGAAAGAGAGGGAGGCGGACACAGGGTGGGCAGGGAGAGAAAGGGGGAGAGGGGGTGAAGTAGAGAGCGGGGAGAAGTGGAGAAAGGTGGAGAGAGTGGGGAGAGGAAGGGAGAGGGGCAGAGAGGAGGGGAGAGGAGGAGAGAAAGGGAGATGGGTGAGACTGGTCTCCCACCTTCCCCCAGGTAGGCGCAACCAGCCGCTGCGGCGGTGGAGCCAGCCCGCCAAGAGGAGCGCGGAGCCGGGAGGAGCCGCCCAGGCCGCACCGCTCGGCGGCGTGGGGCGGGCCTGGCTGGGGGCGTCGCTGCGCGGCTGCGCGCGCCTATGGGAGCTGTCCGCTTCCCGGGTGCTGATTCCAGCTCCCGTTCCAGAGCAGGTGGACTGGGCGTCCGCGGAGCTCGCTGTTCGTAGTGGTTGACTTGCATGCGCACCTTCCAGGAGGGAGGGCGAGGAAGGCTGGTGCAGCGAGGGGCGGCTGCCGGGACCTCAGCTTCAGCCGCAGCTCCGGAGAAGCGCCGTCACGTTTGCCAGAGCTCCTGGGCTCAGGATGGAGTGAAGGAGCGATCGCTCTTCCAGGGGGTGGGCGGGAGGGGGCCAGGAGGTGCAGAGAAGAGAGAAAGAGAGAGAGAGAGAGAGAAAGGGAAAAGCCTTGGCTGGAGCCTACGAATTTGGGATTCAATTGGAAGGGACCGGACCGCTTACTCCAGGGAAATGGATTCTATACCATGGCTGACCAGCGTTTTGACTTTGCTCTTCTCAGGCTGGTGGCATTTAGGATTAACGGCGACAAATTGTGAGTAAGCGGGACTGGGGCGGGGTGGGGGCGGTATAAAGAAGGTGAGAAAGGCTACTAACAGGAAAACACGCTCAACTGCTTAAATGTGTTCTGGTGGTTCCGAAGCCTGGGGGCTTAAACAATGGTGATTGGTATGGTTCCATCACCCTCAACCCTCCCAAAAGTTAGCAGAGCTAAGAGGAGCCAGCCCACTGGATTCCCGGCCCTCTCCGCTAATAGCAAAGTTCCAGGGGGAGAAGGGAAGGTTCTTCCCCTGAAGTCTCCCGCTAACTCGGCCTGGGTTCTTCCAGAGAAGGGCCAGAGGTTCAGGCGGCACACTCCAGGAGCTGAGCTTCCAGACAGATACACTCTTGGCCACCGTGCGAGGTGACAGTAGAGCTCATCTTAGAACGCCACTGCTTTGAATTTGCAGAATTCCCAGCGCTTTACAGGGCTTTCAGCTCTCCCTTAGGCAGGAGGCTCCAGTGGGGTATCTTGCAACCAAGAGATACAGGTTTAACAGGATTGATACTTCTGGCCTAAGAGTCAAGGCACTATGTAGTCAAACCACAAGATCAATGGCTGCCCGGGTTAGAGGAGGCAGAATGTTGATGCACTCCCCACCCCCAAAATCTTTGTGCCAAAGAGCACATAATGAGTATGCCATAAGTGTACACTGTGGTGCCTGAGCTCTAACCTCACCAGAGCAGGGCATTTACTTTAATAGGCAGGTAGGCTGGACACCTGGGGATCCAACACCTGCACTGTGTATTTAAAGAGCCCAGTTCATCAAACTTGAATAAATTACTAGAATGATCTGAGGTTTAAGCTCCATTGCTCAGCTGCCTCTGTAGGCAGAGGAGGGGGAAGGTTTAATTATTAATTTATCTATTTTATTTCATTTCCCCTCTCCAGCTCTGGGAACTCCTAAATGAGAATGAATGCAATTAAGCCATGTGTACCATTTCCAAAGATGGTTTATCAAAGCCGCCCAAGTTTCTTGGCTTCCTCTGTTTTCTCCCATCTCCTCCAAGGAACTCAGAAAGATGACTTGTATGAAAACAGTGGGGTTGTGTTTTTGTAATCTGCACAACCACTGATAGTGAAAAGGAGAGAGACGACTTACCCTTTCAGAGTCTGCCAACCTCACCCCCCCCACCCCCACCCCCAACTATCTCCAAGAGGACTTAGAGCGTGTCTTCTATCTTAGGGGAACACGCTTAGATAAAGTTATATGCTGAAAATGGCCAAATGTCCCAAAGACTAACTGGTGTTTTTGCTTATAAAGAAGTTTGAGGTCCCACACCTATAGTTAGTGGCAATACCTTATACAAGTTTGATGAAACATTGTATGCTTAAAGGAAGAAAGTGAGTCATTGCTTTAAAAAGAAGGACCTTAGTTTTAAAATTATTTCAGCAAACAGGTAATGACAGGTTAAAATTCACTGTATATATACATTAATTAAACATTTTAAAGTGAAATCGTTCCCCTAATGTTTTAGAAACAAAAAAAAAAAGATCTAAGTGGTTTTGTCTGAGGAAGTCAGGCATGGCACAGAGGTAGTGCCTCGACCTTCTAGAACACTAGAGGTCAGTATTCTGCCAATGATGTAAAGGTGTGGCTACAAAATAGCTGTGTTTTCAGAATGGCACATTTACCTTATCTGAAGAGAGTGAATACTTTGAAGCTACACAAAGGTGGGAAGTAAGGAATAAGGGTGAAATAAAAAATACTCAGGGAATATGACTTGGGTTATTCATGTAAACCTTTTCTTAAGGGTTGGGACAATAATACATTCTAAAATGGTATTTTCTATAAATTAATTGCATTATATTTAATGTTTTAACAGTCTTCCTAAAATCTAAATGGCATAGCCTTCAGATTCATGCTGGTCTTTTCTGATGCAACAATAAAGCTAATTCTGAGCATTTAAAAGGAAACTTTGTCATAACGAGCTCTATTATTTCATCAGTGACTGTAATTTCTCCATCACCATTTCATAGGATGCAGGCTGCTCCTTAAATATTTTGGGGTCAATGTTCCTAAAAACAGTAATACTTTTTCTTTTAATTTTGTATGTGATGCAGTATGCATTCATTCAGTGAACAATAGGAGAACAGCAGAAAATTACATTTGGACTAAAAACATATTAGTGGTGTTTATCACCTATGATGCAGAACCTCTAAGGAAAACAAACAAACAAACAAACATTAAATTCCCAAAATCCCACAAACTTTCATTGTCCCCATATTCTATCCATGAAATATAAGGGAAACATTTGTTAACTAGTTATATATACTACATTTATAAGTCATAGGCAAATATTGGGGAATAGAAGTTTCCTTTCTAATTAAATAAATTTGTACAGGTTTTTGAAACATTCTGAAAACATTCTTCCAAGACCATTCTTTCTATATTTTGAATAATGTGTCAAGTCATTTTGAGGCAGTGGTCTTAGAAGTAGAGGATTTGCAAATCCAAGATGCTCCACAGTACCTAGCTATGCCTGTGGACTTGGTTCAAGTTAAAATAACTTTATGTTTCCTCCATTCTTCTTAAAATAATTTGCTGTTGCTGCTGTTTTGTATGTGTGGAAGTGCGGTGTGTGTATTTATTTTTTTTATAATGTGACAAAAACATGGACACCTATTTTATAAATTTCTAATTAGACAAAATTCAAATAAAGTCAGGTTGTAAGGGCCAGCTGCAATCTAGATATTATGAATCTGTGCAGAGGACATAATTACCTACAAGTAATAAAAACTCTGGAAATTCCCTCACTCCAAATTTTCAGGATATTAAATCCCTACAATATTTCCTTTGGGTTTACCCTGAGGGAATTAGCTAATTTCAAATGTAGATATAATAGGCCAATGTTAAATGAAAAAGCATTTTACATATAATATACTTATTTGATACAAGAAGAAGCAATGTGATTTGATAGTTGGTTAAAGTGAAACTAGGAGTCTGAAGAGCTAGGAATTCTCCCCTCCTTATGCCACAGCTAAGGTGTCAAATATCTGTCAGGTTAGGCAACATTCTTGTGCTCACCTACCTGGGGATAGAGCTGCAATTAGATATGACTCTTCTCCCAAAGATTGCATAATCCAATTTTCTTATGGAAAATATTCTTCAAGTATTTGGTATGTTGAAAGGCTTTTGTAATGTTAGAACCAGCACGCAGAAGATGCTAGGAATGTGTGGGAGAAATGGAGGCCACTCTTCACTTTATTTTTAACAATAAGTGATGGTGTATGATTACAAAAAGCCTTAATTTTTGACCCAAAATTCACTTTGAATTATCTCCAAGAACCTTAAATAACTTTGTTGAACAAGTTAGGTTTAGGTTGACACAGAACTAACTCTGAAAGAAGACGCCAACGCACTTTATTCTAGCAGCACTTCATTTAAAACATCCAAGAATGGCAGCAGTCCTAAAGTAGACACCTAAGGCACTTTAGCTCCTAAGCCAGTGCCCTGCCCCATGGGGTCTATGTTTAAAAGACGTATTGTCTTCTGTTAAGAAGGTGAGGAAGGAGTCTATTTATCTCAAAGGTCATCATATGCTAGAGATGAAATCAACGGGACTTTATCTTGAGGCCACGGTGTACTTACTTGGGGCCAATAGGGACAGTTTTTGTTCAAAATAAAATGGATTCTGTCTTCATTCATTAAAACTTCCACTTTTGGCCTGGTGACCTTGTAAAGGTTACTCATTTATCGTTGTGATTCTGATGCATTAAATGAAGAAATTGGTTAGGTCCTATCTAGTCCTGATCCATTTTGTCTTGGCCTGCTGATATTACTTACTGGTCATTGTATTTATACTTGATCATTCTATTTCAGTTTCTCTGGGTTGATTGTATCCCAAAGTCTTAACTATATTTAGAATAACAAGCATATTAGCTGATTTGAATTTGCAGCTCTTATGTCATATAATATGCCTACATAACTTAGCAATTCAGTATAGCTAGATGTGTTTTTAATCCAATTTTCAAGTGGATACATTTAAAGTTAATAAACCAGACCAAAGCCAGGCCATTGGGTTGGTTTAGACACATAGCGACTACCAAAACCCAACCAAACTCACTGCCCTGGATCCCGATTCAGTGACTCTATAGGACAGGGTAGAATGGCCCGGGGGGTTTCTGAGGCTGTGACTCTTCATGGGAGTCAAAAGCCAGTCTTTCTCTGGCAGAACAGCTGGTGATTTTGAACCATTGACCTTGCAGTTAGCAGCTCAAGGAGTAACCCACTTAGCAACCAGGGAACTTGCCCACAGAGTCAGTAAATGTTAGTCATTCCCCTAAGATCACAAAACAGAGCTATATATATATATATATATATATATATATATATATATCTTTTTGAATGATATGAATGTGCTTCACATGTATTCAGTTAGGCTCTGTGTATGAGCATCCGTGAAAAGGTGACCTTGGGCTCCCCAGGGTTGGACTTTGTAGCTCTATTCTTAGTACAAAGATGAAAGTGTAAGTTTCCACCAGAGCCACTCCGGAGTCATAGCTAAGTAAAACAATCAAACATTTAGAAACTGGGTATGATGAAAGATAGCAAACATACCAATGATCAAAGATAAAATACTTCATATCTGGAGGATTGGCTGGTACTTGACAATTTCATACATACTTTGAAAATATGGTTGATTAGGACACAGCCTTTCTGGAAACTTGCCAAGAGCTTCTCTACATATACACAAACATACTTGTATATAACAATATCATGAAAGGTACCTCTCTCAACTTCAAGTCTTGCAAGTCTACAGATGTTGGGTTTACTCCAAACATGTTTAAACATGTCTTGGTGGTGAGTTGATAGCTTCAGACAATTCCCCTCAGTGGCACACTTGTCTTGGTCTGTATACTTTTGTGATATGGGGAAAAAAATTTGAGGTCAGAGCTAATATCTAATTTTTAAGAATATAAATGGATTTCTTCACAAATCATTGAGGCGTTACAACAAGTTTATGGAAATAGTGCTTCACATACAACCAGTT